AAATACAGAAAAAGAAAGAAGAAGCAGATTTATGTGCATGAAAAAACTTAATCTTCCTAATTAAATAAAAAAGACTTCTGACAAAACGAGTCTTCCAATCATTCTCTTTTTTTTTTTTAATAATTTTTATTGGGTTTTCACATTTTATATAGACAAAAACAAAACACATAACACCAAAACAAACATAAAAAAAACAACAGCAAACATGAATAGTTCCAAAAAGTCTTATTTTCTAACCCTAGTCCTTGACTTCCCCCCACCCCCTCCCTTGCATCCCTGTTCCCAAGTTTATGTCAGCAAGTTAGCATTTCTTCCTTCTTAATATTAGTCCTTTTATAGAATCAAAAAATAAGTTTTCCCTAAGTTGGACCCCAATTCTCTTCCCTCGATTTCTCTTTTTTTCTTGAGTAATTTCCTTATTACTAAACCCCTGGTCTTGAGTGTTATTTAAGTTTATGCTTCCCTCCCTCCCATCCCCGCTTTGCGTCCTTTCCCAAGACATGTCCAAAATAACAGTTTTTAGCCTGGATTCCGCACATCCGAGGCTCTCAAATCTATTTCAGTCCCTCTCCGCCGGTTTTGTTGGTAGTCCTCTTTGTCAGTCATCGAGTCTCGAAAGATTTCATTAACATTCAATCCAATCAGTCCATAGTCTCTTCCCATATTTATAAGCAACTGCTGAGGAATTTCCACAAGGCCTGAGTCTTGGTGATGGTCAAAATCAAAGTCTATGTGGAGGCCCCAATTGTACTTCTTTATTTCGAGTTCCTGAGTTCCATAAACTCCCAGGGCCTCCACTTTCATCTTCTGTATCTTTCGTAAGCTTGGAATAGGTTCCATCCAATGGTCTCCTTGTTTGTATTCTCCAAATATCGGCTTCTGGTTAGTATTTTCCCACATAACTTGTTCTCTTTCTTGTTTTGTCTTCTCCTCTTCTTTGTTTATTATTTCAAATTCAGCTGTGGGTTCTTTCTCATTCAAGTCCTCATTACATTCAGCAGAGCTACTTGTTTCCAATTCCAAGGCCGTCAATTGTTTACTCATAGCTGTAGTCTGCTCCTGTAAGGTTCCCACCAGTGAAAACATCCTTTCGATTTCTCTCAGTATCTTTCCACCCACAGCCATTGTAATTCCACAGAATTCCCCCTAGAGGGAATCTGGTTACTGGATGGTCTTTTCTCCAACAATCCTCTGTCCTATTATTGTTTCTTTGTTTCCCAAAATTTTAGTTCAATTGTAACTCCTTTTTATCCGGAGAGGTCTTAAGTAGCAATTTTTTCAGTATTAACAGTCCATTTGACAGCTTTGACAGCTGTCAAATTCTGCTCCTCTATACAGGCTCCAAAGCAGATCGCTCCCGGGCTCGGGAGGGAGGGTTGTTTACCACAAAACAAAGACTCTTCCAACACTCCACTCTCCTGCTTAAATTTGCTTTTCCAAATCTTGGAAGTTACTGTCTTTTTTAAAACTCACCCTTTACAGGGTGGGCACTCCAGCTTAGCTCTTGTATCGTTGCTCTGGATCGTCTGCAAGGGGGGGGATGGGGACTTCCTTTTGGCACACCCCCCGGTCGTCTCAAATTCAAAAGGTAAAAGTTTTTAAAGCTCAGTTCCAAATTACTCACGGGTTCTTTTTTCAATCCAAATTTCAAGGAAGGAAGTCAGCGCTCTCCGGTTATGGCTCGCGGCTTCGCTCAGCGGCGGTAGCGATCGACTCTCAGTGCCGCGCCGTCCCCCGTATCCCCTCCATAGCCTTTAAAAAGGCTCTTCGCGAATCAGGGGGGCGCTTAAGGCACCCGCCGAGTCTTCAGTCCGCAGGCATCTGCACCTGCGGTTTTTAAGGGTCCCCGTGTCGCCGGCACGGCAAAGACCCATCCACCGCTGAGCCGATTCCCTCCGGAGCTCGGAGGGAATCCGCCATTCCCGGATCGCGCCAACCCGGAAGTCCTAGTCTTCCAATCATTCTCATTGGGCTGTTTATACTGCCGTTGTTTCTTTCGCACAGTTTTATATTCTTTAATATTGTTCCCGTCTACTCCACAAACAGTATTTGTTGCGTTTACAAGTATCACTCAAGTTCTGCTAATATGGTGTGGTTAGTACAATATGATCTTCTATAATCCTTAAATATTCTCCATTCTCCAAATATTTTCCGGTTCAATACTCCTCTAACTCTTCCCGTCAGTTTTGCTAGTTGTAACTATTCTAACATGGGTATATGGCTTCTCTTGGTGATGTCCACAAGGGTATTTTTGGCTCAAGTAGTCCTTTATATTTATTCCAAATTTTATATCACAATTTTCTTATCACATAGCTCAAAAATCCCCTGTGGACCTTCACTTTTTTGTATATTAAAGAAGCGTGCCATCCAGACCGATTCTTGTGGCCTTCCAAGTCTAATATGTCCGTATCTTTTAGTGTAATCCAGTCTTTTATCCAAACCAATCCTTCCGCCGCATGGTAGAATTGCAAATCTGGCAATGCAAAACCTCCTCTCTCCTTTTGATCTGTTAATAACTGGTGTTTAATTCTCGGTTTCTTTCCACTCCATATAAATCGAGATATTTTCCTTTTCTACTCCTTAAAACAATTCATTTCTCCTAAAATGGGCCTTGTTTGGAATAAGAAAATCATTTTGGTTTTTTTGTTTTTAAATATTTTTTATTGAGTTTCTTTTCTTAAGGTCCTAGACACAAAATTGGGGTAAGAAAATACAAGAAACAAATACAAAACCGAAATAATAAAAAGGTCATTACAATCCAATTTTCAGTAGTTTTTTCAATATTCCAAATGGACTTCCCCGCATCCTCCCGACTCTGCGTTCTTTGTAATAAAAGTTTCAGCAATTTGTTACCTTGTTTCTTAACTTACTGTATCTTTCAGTTATTATGTTTCTAAATTCACAATATTATATCCCAACTTTGTACATTTAAAATTAACTTAATAAAATTGTTTCATATTACTACCTCTTTTTTCTTGTCTTAATTTTCAGTTTACCTAATCAAGTTGCTAGAGCAAAAAAATTTCCTAATCGTGCGTATTTCTTAACATTCATACAACTTATAGTGTTTTTGCAAATAGTCCTTAAATTTTTTCCAGTCCTCTTCCATTGTTTCCTCGCCCAAATCTCGGATTCTGCCAGTCATTTCAGCCAGTTCCATGTAGTCCATCAACTGCGTCTGCCACTCCTCCAACGTGGGTAAATCTTGAGTCTTCCAGTGCTTTGCAATAAGAATTCTTGCTGCTGTAGTAGCGTACATAAACAAAGTTCTGTCCTTCTTTAACACCTTCTGGTCCACCATGCCCAATAGGAAGGCCTCCGGTTTCTTGGGAAAGGTATACCTAAATACCTTTTTTAACTCGTTATAAATCATTTCCCAGAAGGCCTTCACTTTTGGACAGGTCCACCAAAGATGAAAGAATGTCCCTTCTGCCTCCTTACATTTCCAGCATTTATTATCAGACAAGTGGTATATCTTAGCTAACTTGACTGGGGTCATGTACCACCGGTATATCATTTTCATAATGTTTTCTTTCAAGGCATTACATGCCGTAAACTTCATACCGGTGTTCCATAGCCTTTCCCAGTCTTCAAACATAATGTTGTGTCCAATATCCTGTGCCCATTTTATCATGGCAGATTTCACTATCTCATCCTGTGTATTCCATTTAAGCAGCAAGTTATACATTTTCGAAAGTGTCTTAGTTTTTGATTCTAACAATTCCGTCTCTAATTTCGATTTTTCCACCTGGAAACCAACTTTTTTGTCCATTTTAAAAACCTCTTGAATTTGAGCATAATGTAACCAATCCCGCACCTTATTTTTTAGTTTGTCTTGGCTCTGCAGCCTCCAATTGTCTCCAATTTTTTCAATTATTTCCCAATATTTCGCCCAGTAGGCCTCCATGTTGGGTCTTTTTCGAGCCTTGGCCTCCATCGGTGATAGCCACCTCGGGGTCTTGCCCTCTAGCAAGTCTTTGTATTTCATCCAGACCATGAATAATGCTTTTCTGACAATATGGTTTTTAAATAGTTTATGAACTTTGACCTTGTCGTACCACAGGTAAGCATGCCAACCAAAAGCATTGTCAAACCCTTCCAGATCCAGGACATCAGTGTTCTCCAACAGAAACCAATCCTTCAGCCAGCAAAAGGCTGCAGATTCATAATACAACCTCAGGTCCGGCAGGGCAAACCCCCCTCTTTCTTTTGAATCAGTTAATATTTTAAACTTTATTCGGGGCTTTTTGCCCTGCCAGACAAATTTAGATATATCCTTCTGCCACTTTCCAAAACATTCCACTCTGTCCACGATCTGTAGGGTTTGAAACAAAAATAACATTTTCGGCAATACATTAATCTTTATAGCTGCAGTTCTGCCCAACAAGGAAAGTTTCAACTTTGACCAAATTTCCAAATCCTTCTTAATTTCCGACCAACATTTTTCATAATTGTCTTTAAATAAATTCAAATTTTTTACAGTCAAATGAACCCCTAGGTATTTCACTTTTTTAACAACACTTAGTTCTGTTTCTTTCTGAAACCCCTCTGTTTCTGTAGGTGTCAAGTTTTTGGCCAAAACCTTGGTGGAATAAGAAAATCATTTTGGGGAGGATATTTATTTTCACAACCGAGACTCTTCCCCAGAGTGAGAGATGGAGTTTGGTCCAGGTTTCCATATTTTTAAAAAGTTCTTTCCATACTTTACTATAATTATCCTCATATACATTTAAACTTTTATTTGAAATCCAGATCCCTAGGTATTTAACCTTATTTTTAATTTCCAGGCCTGTTTTTTCTTGAAGTTCTTTTTTTTCTTCCATTGTGAGGCTTTTTGTCAGTAATTTAGTTTTTTGGAAGTTTATTTTCAGCCCCAGGCCAGCCATAAATTAATCTAGCAAAAGACCCAGGGATGGCCAGGAGCAGCGCATGCGGATGTGAGTCTAGGAATGGAGAAGATTGTGGACGGGATTCTCTGAAACACCCAGCAACCCAGATTCTCATCCTTGGCTGTCTCTTTTGCTGACGGTCTTCATTCCCAGCCTTCCTGGCAAGAGGTAGCGAGGAGGGGGAGGGGAGAACGGGAGAATTGGGGTTCTGCAATTAGAGAGGCAATGAACTGCAAGGGGAGAACGCCAATCAAAGCTCTCATTCCCTGTTGGGGAACCTGAGATCTGAAACTTTTCCTTTTCCCCAAGGAAGACGCCCCAAGGCTGGTCCAAGTGGCCAGTTTGGATAGCAGGGGACTTGGGCTCGGTTTCCGATTTCTCTTTTTCTCGTAAATGCAGCTGCACCGGCAGCACCAAGATCCGGAAGGAAGTGACTGGTGCGCGTCAGAGCGCAAGGGCGTTTAAAGTTCCTTTCCGTTCTCTCTGGAGCAGCCAGATTTGGCACTGGGCTGCCAGGCGTCCAGTGGAAAGGGACTCTTTTCCCTAGAGGCAGAAAAGGTTGCTGGGACCCCATGGTAAATAAAGGGAGGGAGAAGGACTTTGTAGAGAAGACGAACGACTGTCAGGTCAGGAAAGACCTGGGAAAAGGCTAGCGGGTTTTTGTTTTTGTTTTGGCTTTGGTTGAAAAATGGGATCCCCACATTCTAAGCGTTCTAACCGCCAGACTCAGAGGCATGTGCTGGTCGCAGCAGGAGGGGGGTCTCCCTGGATGCTTCAGCAGCCGGCCTCCTCTGGGTCTCCTGGCCCCCTCCTCTCCTCCCTCTGAGCCTGAACTGCTCTCTGCCCCAGACTCTTCCTGCTCACCTAACCCAGTTTCCTCCTCAGCTTGCAACATCTCCCCTTCCGGTCTGCTCCCTTTTCTCCCTCTTTCGCCTCATCCCATCACCAATCAACAGGATCTGAGCCTTCTTCCGTTGTGGGTCCCCCAGCTTGTGCCTCCCCCCCCCCTCACCAGCCAGTCCTTGACAACAACAACAGCCACAGCACTGTGGTCCTCTGGTAGGAAAACTCCTGAGAAGCATGATTGAAGCAAGCCTTCTGGGACTATGGAAAAATGCTATCTTCCTCAAACCCCAGAATGAGCAGGAGCTCTGGGGTTGCCCGATGGGGTTCATGAGTGAAGATGGGGCCCCCAGGAGACTTCCGTGCTACCTGCAGCCCCTCATTCCCCCTCTTGAAATTAGACTTGGGGGGGAATCTCCCATTCAATTACAGTATTTCAAGTTTTCTTCAGAACGCGCAGGGCAGGAGGCAGCGATGACATTCTGGTGAAGAAGCAGTGCTTGGAGATCATGTGGTGGGGGTGTGTGACAGAGTTTGGTGCAAAAACCAAAGGTACTTTCATCTAAAATTATACTCACCATTGAGAGATGCTGCCTTCATTATTTGATTATTGTAATGTTTTACATATAAACACCAGAACTTCACATATACCTCATGCTTTTAGGAATGATTTCCTGCTGAGTTCATTGCTCAGAGTGGACTCTGAGAGGAAGAAGTACCACACTCCATACATCTAAATGGGTTCTCCCATGTGAGAGTCCCTGGATGCTCCTTGATCACTCCATTATAAATAAAGCACTTCTTGCAATCTTTTCATTTAAACTGCTTCTCCTCTCTGAGTTTGTTGATGGTTTGAAGGGTTTCAACTCTTAGAGTTCTTCCTGTCCGTGAGTCTGTTGATTTTCAACTTCCACTAAGAGTGAACCTCTATCTACTTTCCTGATATTTATACGGTTTGTCTTTTGTGTAAGTTTGTTGACATAAATAAAGGGTTCCACTCTGACTTTTTTTAAAAAAAATATTTATTAAAAATTTTAAAGTACAGAAAGTAAAGTAAAGATAAAAGTACATTTAAAACCTTATTTTCATACATCCACTTTCTGGGACTCCCCCCCTCCCCCACCCCTACCATATTCCCCTTTCATATTGTTGGCTCCACAAGCTCTCACTTCAAATTTAAAACTTAATTTGTTTAACCCATTATTCAAATTTAAATTTATACAATCCTCATCAATACCCTTAATAAAAAAAACAAAAGTTCTCTCCCCAGGGCCCACCCCCTTTTCATTCCACAATTTCCCTTTTTTTTTAATAGTAAAAACACCCCACAAAATAGAAATATAAAAAATAAAAAGTATAGTAGAAAAAAGAAAACCAATTCAAAAAATAGTTGACAAGCCTTTGGATTCTAATTCTCCCCCCCTCTTCCCCGGTTTAATTCCCCCCTGTCCACCAATCTATATTGTCTGCCTGGAATTCTTTAATCCATAAATCACATTTTTGCCCCAGTTCCTTGCAGGTTTTTTCTTTTTTAGAATTATTTTTAAAGTTATTTTTAATCTTTAAAACTGTAAAGTTCCCCCCGTTGTTCTTTCCATGTTGTAGTCCAGTTTCCTCTTGTTCCGCTGCTAAAACGTTCTAATTCAGAAGTTTAGTAGCTCTGCAGGGGTCATTGTTATTCAGGAACAAAAACTTGCGTTCAGTCCCTTCCTTTCTTCAATAGAAAATTCTATTGTCTCCTTTAGTCTGAACACCCTGTAGACAAAATACTGTTTCAGTTTTGCAGCTTTCCCAGAAGATAACCAGTCCTGTAAAATTCCGAAGGTATTTTTCCACTTACGACCATCTTTGTAATGTCCCGAGACTCCTCTAGGGGGATTGTTGTAACTTTGTTTTCTCTAGTCCAAAAGTCCGATTGTTATCCATGTTTTCGCCATTTTGTATCCAAATCTTAGCAAGTTGTAGCAATTTGTAGCAAATTTAACCAGCAAAGTCCTCGTAATAAAATCCTCTTTGAATTTCCGACTTTGACAGCTACTTTGACAGCTGTCAAAATCTCCGTCTCTTTTCGCCAGGCTCTCTCCTCAATCACCCCGGTTCCCAGGGGGGGGGGGGTTACGTTCTCCTTCTCCCTCGATTCTTCCTCCAGCACAGTTCTTGTAATTTCCCATCGTGGAATTCTTAGTTTTTATCAAAAATACAGCTCTTTTTGGACCTTGGTTTCCCAATCCTTGTTTTAGAATGTTTACAGTAGGGAGGGGGACTGACTTCCTTTTTGGATCCCCCCCGCTCATATCAAATCCGAAAAAAATTCCTTTTTTTCTCCTTTTGAACCCGGTTTCCAAATTACTCACGGGTTGTTGTTAAAAGTCCGAATTCTCAATGGAAGAAGTCAGCGCTCTCCGCCGGATGGCATGCGACTTCGCTCGGCAGGGATAACAGAGGACTCAAAGCACCACGCTTCTCCCCGGCACCCGATCCGTAGCCTTTAAAAAGGCTCCTTCACGAGTCGGGAGGGCGCTAACGGTGCGAGCCGAGTCTCCATGTCCACGGCCTCCGTGGCCGTGGTTTTTAAGGGTCCCCGCGTCGCCGGCGCGGTAGGACCCAGCCCCTGCCGAGCAGGCTCCCTCCGGAGCTCGGAGGGAGTCCGCCATTCGGCGATGGCGCCAACCCGGAAGCATCCAAGGGTTCCACTCTGACTGAAGCTCCTTCCACAGTCCATACCTTTAAATGGTTTCTCCCCTGTGTATCTACTGATGTTTTCTAAGATTTCCACTCTGAGTGAAGTATTTACTGTACTCCATAAATTGAAATGGTTTCTCTCCTATATGAGTCCGTTGATGTGATCTAAGGCTTGGATTACAATGGAAACTCTATCCACACTCTATACATTTATGTGGTTTCTCCCGTGTGTGAGTCCGTTGATTTTTTTTCAGTGTTCCATTCTGACTGAAGTCCTTTCCACACTCCATGCATTTAAATGGTTTCTCCCCGTGTGACTCCGTTGATGTGATCTAAAGTGTGCACTCTCACTGAAGCTCTTTTCACACTCCATACATTGAAATGGTTTCTCCCGTGTGTGAGTCCGTTGATGTGATCTAAGGTGTGCACTCTGACTGAAGCTCTTCCCACACTCGATACATTTATATGGTTTCTCCCCTGTGTGAGTCCGATGATGGGAACTAAGGCTGCTGCTATCACGAAAGCTCTTTCCACACTCCATACATTTAAATGGTTTCTCCCCTGTGTGAGTTCGTTGATGATTTCTAAGGCTTCCATTTTCACTAAAGCTCTTTCCACATTCGATACATTGAAATGGTTTCTCCCCTGTGTGAGTCCGTTGATGTGATCTAAGGTGTGCACTCTGACTGAAGCTCTTTCCACACTCGATACATTTATATGGTTTCTCCCCTGTGTGAGTCCGATGATGGGAACTAAGGCTGCTGCTATCACGAAAGCTCTTTCCACACTCCATACATTTAAATGGTTTCTCCCCTGTGTGAGTTCGTTGATGATTTCTAAGGCTTCCATTTTCACTAAAGCTCTTTCCACATTCGATACATTGAAATGGTTTCTCCCCTGTGTGAGTCCGTTGATGTGATCTAAGGTGTGCACTCTGACTGAAGCTCTTTCCACACTCGATACATTTAAATGGTTTCTCCCCTGTGTGAGTCCGTTGATGATTTCTAAGACTTCCGCTATCACTAAAGCTCTTTCCACACTCGATACATTTATATGGTTTATTCCCTGTGTGAGTCCGTTGATGTGATCTAAGGTGTGCACTCTGACTGAAGCTCTTTCCACACTCGATACATTTATATGGTTTCTCCCCTGTGTGAGTCCGATGATGATTTCTAAGGCTTCCATTTTCACTAAAGCTCTTTCCACACTCGATACATTGAAATGGTTTCTCCCCTGTGTGAGTTCGTTGATTATTTCTAAGGCTTCCATTTTCACTAAAGCTCTTTCCACACTCGATACATTGAAATGGTTTCTCCCCTGTGTGAGTCCGTTGATGATTTCTTAGGCTTCCATTTTCACTAAAGCTCTTTCCACACTCGATACATTGAAATGGTTTCTCCCCTGTGTGAGTTCGTTGATGATTTCTAAGGCTTCCATTTTCACTAAAGCTCTTTCCACACTCGATACATTGAAATGGTTTCTCCCCTGTGTGAGTCCGTTGATGTTTTCTAAGACTTCCGCTATCACTAAAGCCCTTTCCACACTCGATACATTTAAATGGTTTCTCCCCTGTGTGAGTCCGTTGATGATTTCTAAGGTGTGCACTCCGACTGAAGCTCTTTCCACACTCCATACATGTAAATGGTTTCTCTCCTGTGTGAGTCCGTTGATGTTCCCTAAGGTTTCCACTGTAAGTAAAGCTCTTTCCACACTCAATACACTTATATGGTTTCTCCCCTGTGTGAGTCTGTTTGTGCAATTTAAGGTTTCCACTCTGACTGAAGTTCTTCTCACACTCCCTGCACGTAAAACGTTTTCTCTCTATGTGAGTCCGCTGGTGTGTTTGCATTGAAAGAGAAGCTCTTTCCGCACTCCATACCTTTAAATGGGTTCTTTCCTTTTTGTGTTCATTGATGTGAACTATGTGTGCTCATTCAGTGAAGCATATTCCACATTTCACACATTTTAATGGCTATTCCTAATGAAACGAAAGGTGCCCTGTCCCCTACAATTCTGTCTTCTCCATCACCTTTTTCAGAGTGGGCAGAAAGGAAATCCTGTTTGGGTTTCAGGAAAGAGAACACAGGGGGGAAAGGACACATCAACCGCCATTAGCACCTTCTCTTATTTCAACATCTCCTACATTCTCCCATGTCCTCCCCATGTTCCCAATTTTTAGGAAATGAAAATGGTATGATGTCAAATGGTAATAATGCATCAGGAACCTTTCAAGATCCTCAATCGTCTTTAATAACACAACATGATTTCTGACATTGAATTATATATAAATTGCAGTATTGAAATGCGCCTGCTCCCCCTTCCTATTCTGATATTACTCTACTCTGTTTGTCTGTTTCTTACTTGAGTGCTGTTTTGGCCCCTGCCTTGGCCCTGTGGACCTGAAGGACCATCTTCACCCCCATCACTCGGTCCGGACAGGGAGGTCCTCCTCCGAGGGTCTTCTGCTGGTTCCCTTGCTGTTAGAAGTGAAGTTCCAGGGAACCAGGCAGAGGGCCTCCTGCCCCATGGAATGCCCTCCCTTCCGAGGGCAAGGAGGTAGGCAACCATCTGACATTTAGAAGACAGCTGTATCAGGAGGTTTTTAATGTTTGATGTTTTACTGTCTTGTATATGTACTGTACTGTCAGGAAGGTAAACAGCCTTTCCGTGCGCTGCTCTGGTTCGCCAGAAGCAGCTCAGTCATGCTGGCCACATGACCCGGAAGCTGTACGCGGGTTCCCTCAGCCAATAAAGTGAGATGAGCACCGTAACCCCAGAGTCGGCCATGACTGGACCTAATGGTCAGGGGTCCCTTTACATTTACCTATATGTACTCTAAGCTGCCCAGAGTGGCTGGGGGAAAAGACGAATACTATAACTTTTACAGTGGTACTTCGTGTTACAGACGCTTCAGGTTACAGACTCTGCTAACCCAGAAATAGTACCTTCTGTTAAGAACTTTGCTTCAGGATGAGAACAGAAATCGCACGGCGGCAGGAGGAGGCCCCATTAGCTAAAGTGGTGCTTCAGGTCAAGAACAGTTTCAGGTTAAGAACGGACCTGCAGAACAAATTCAGTTCTTAACCCGAAGGACCACTGTACTATTATTATTATTATCATCATGTGATTTTTTGTAGTTAATTTGGAATTTGTACTGCAATATTAGCTCACGAAATGTTATGGGTGGAGAAAATCACAGGGTTGCCGTAAACTATAATCCCACCCACAAACTCTCATTCACATACAGTCTGTAAATTTGGGAAGGTCACACACCTCACCTGTGCTAATACTGGCAGTCTTTGGCCTCCACAGGCACACCCGGTGTGTAGAGCCTCCAGCCCCAGGCACTGTCTATCATGAAAATGGGTCCTTTGACTGGGAAGATTCCTGCAGTCGCTGTCATCGGATGATGATGGATTGTATCCCAGCTTGTCAGTCACTCTGACATTGCCTAGAAAGAATAAGAGGAACAGAAATGCTTTTTACGGAAATGACTGGCAGAATCCGAGACCAGGGAGAAGAGTTGATGGAAGAAGATTGGAAAAAGTTTAAAGACTATCTACAGAAATATTGCAAAATTAATGAATGCTAGAATGATTTTGGATAGAAACTAAGTGGTCTTTAGCTGTAATGTTATAAGGGAATATGAAAAAAATGGATTATTAATAGGTAAAAATTTAATGTTACAATACTTTATGATTAAAGACTAGGATATACAAAGAGGGGAGGGATTTGCTGAACTAATAATACGAACCGGAATACAAAAAAGGGAGGCGTGAGGAGGTCCGGGAAACAAGCAAATGAAAGATAATTAATGGAAAGAATGAATTGTTTTTAACCATTTTTATTTTGTATTTTTCTTTTTTCTTTTTCTTTATTCTGTAATATTCTGAAAATCTTAATAAATATCTTTTTTAAAAAAGAAAAGAAATGCTTTTGAGGTGCAACTTCTATATCAATCCTGAGAGCCATTCCGTGGACTCTGCACCCCTGTTTCTGATGACAGGTGTACATTATCCTCACCCTCAGTGGAAAAGACAATAAAGATGGAAGCCTGAGAGAGAGGAAAAGGTTTCTGGCTGCTTCCTGGGTGGGATTGCAGAAACCAAGAGCCGCTTCTGAGAAGGCCTCCCCCCTCCCCCCTTCCTCTCGGGATTTCCTCTCCTCTCCAGGGGACCAATGGGTGGACTGGGCAGAAGCGCTGCATCCGGACAGGGCAGGGACCTATAGGGTGGGAAGAGGATGGAGATTGCAGGAAGGAAGGGGTGGGGGGCAGGACCCCCACTTTTCAGGGATCCCTGGGCGGGAGGGAGAAGCCAAGGCGGCCCCTTCGAAGATTGCCCAAGGAAGCCACGATTGAGATGCCCCCCCAAAAAACTGGTCTTCCTATCCCCCCCCCAGTGCTCCTCTTCCCTTCCCCCCTCCCTCTCTCCCGCAGTTTCCCCTGCACTCTAGCGCTTCGCCCTGCGCGCCCCATCTCTCCATCCTAGGGCCCCCCCGAACAGGAGCAAGGGAGGGACTGGGGGGTCTCTATCCAGGCGTCTCTTGCGCCCCTTAACCCTTTCATGGGATGCGCGGAGCCTGGGAAACGGGGCGAGGGGTCCGCCCTGCGAGGAAAGCCCCCTTGGCAGCACGCGCGCTGGGATCCAGGCCCCACGGAAGGCGCTTGGGGGAGCTGGCGGGGTCTCTGGGTCCTCGTCTCCTCCCCCCTCCTCCCCCCGCCCTTGCCCCCCCATCCCTGAGTCTCCCCTTCCCCCAGAGCCCCCTTGGCTCACCCCTCGCCGTGCGCCCCCCGTCTCTCCGTCCCTATTGCCCCCCCAAGACGAGCGATCCTGGCTTCTCTCCGCGCCCCAGGGATGCCTGCGCGGGGGAAACGGGGCCAGGGAGTCCTCGTGGGTGGGCGCCCCACGTCCACCCCTGCGAGGAAAGCAACCTTGGCAGCACGCACGCAGGGATCCAGGCCCCACGGAAGGTGCTTGGGGGAGCTGGCGGGGACTCTGGGTCCTTTTCTCCAGCCTCCCCCCGCCCCCGTGACTCCTTTACCTCTTTGTCCTCGCTCCCGATCCTCCCTTCCTTTCCTGCAACATCCACGTGGGTGGGGTGGGGATTTACCTGCCGCCCCTCCTCCCCTTTCCGAAAGCGCGCGGCCCTAGAGCTACGGCGCAGAGAAGAAATCCGAAGTGGAAGCTCCACTTCCAGGAGAAGAAGGGAGGTGGGGGGGGCTCACACCCCCATTCCTTCAGCAGAAGCCGGATCGGAGGAGGAAGAAGGAGGGGTGGGACTTATGGGGGCGGGATCTGGGGTTGTGGGGGCGGGATGAGAGAAGGAGGTGTCGGGAAGGGAGGGAAAGGATTGAGGGGGTGAGAAGAAGGTTTCCCCTCTACCGTCTTCCTTCTAGATCAGGAGAGCGGGGGAGGGGCTGATCCCGAAGATCCAGCTGCAAAGTGGGGTTCCCCCCCAAGTGCAACATCCTCCCTCACCCCACCCCACGAGCTTAGATCCCTCCGTGTTTTAGGTCTTGGTGCTGTTCAAAGCAGGAATGGAGGGGGGCAGCTAAACGACTCCCCCAAATCCCAGCTCCCCACCCCAGCCTCTGACTCAGGCCAGGACAAGGACCGTGGACACAGGCCCCGTCCAGGCACAACAGCCAAGAGGCTCAGAAAAGCAGCCGATACAATTGTAGCAAGAAGCAGATTCCAAAATCTGAGGGATCCCTTGGACCAGAAACAAGGAGACCAGCCAGGAAGAGCAGAGCAAAAGAGCAGCCAGTCGGCTTGGTCTTGATTGAAGACTGTCGCCACAGGACTCCCCCCTGCCCCCAGGTGGAACAAGATGGAAGCCCCCAACAAAAGAAGAGTTTGGATTTGATATCCCGCTTTATCACTACCCGAAGGAGTCTCAAAGCGGCTAACATTCTCCTTTCCCTTCCTCCCCCACAACAAACACTCTGTGAGGTGAGTGGGGCTGAGAGACCTCGGAGAAGTGTGACTTCTCTGAAGGAGGAGGAGTTGTGGTGGTAACCTGAGGGTCTTCTCGCCTGTCCGGTTCCTCCTTTCCCCTCCCCATGATTACATTCCTGAGGACAAAGGGGAGTTCACTGTTTCCTGTCCCCAGAGGGAAGGGCTGGTCACTGTCCTGTGTTTCAGTCCATACTGAATCCACTTCCATATGCAGGTCCTTTGTGAGTGGAATCATCTTCTGTCCAGGACCATCAAGGTTGGCATGCCAACTGGGTAGGGCTCACTGCGGACATGTTGGCTGCCTTGTGTCAAGTCTCCCCCCTTTGATAGTCCTTCACTCATGGTGTAAAATAAAAGTTGAACGGTGCAGATCCAATGTACGGCTGATTTTGTATGAATTTATAACAGAAGTGTCATGTATGTCCTGTGTGAGTGTGTTACGGTAAAATCTGGGTGCGGGGCTACTCTGCCACCCACCTCATCGGACTAAGTCCGTGGGTCCCTGCGGAAGAAAATGAGCTCAGCTGGAGACTGGAGCAAACGGCAGAAGATCCAAGTTTATTTTATTGCGCAACAGGTTCAAGACGAGATTGAACCCCGAGAAAGGGGCGACATGAGTTTTTGAAACTTCCCTCCATGTCCCAGAATACAGTGCAAAATACATCATAGTTACATCATGAATACATTAGAGAGAGGTTGGGTTACACAGATTACATCATGAATATTTTAAGGAGAGGTTGGGTTACACACATTAACATATGGAGGAGGGAGGGGGAATATGCAGAGCTGGAGATATGCGCAGATAAGCGCTTCCTGAGTACCGGTGATGAGAAGACAATAGTCCA